CCTCCAGCGTGCCCACTGCAGCACACAGCTTGGTGTCCTCCATCCCACTCTGCACAGGCTCCACAGGAAAAGCAACTTAACAGGGCAGTCTTTATTGTCAAGGTAAGTTATAAATAATCCCTTTCTCCTCATTAAAACTTTTGAGAATCAGTTCTGCCCCCCAGTCTAAATAATATAATCAGGAATAAAGGTAAAGAAATTATTTTATAGGCAGTTGTAGAATTTTATTGCCAAACCTGAAGTAATTTTACTATTAGATAAATTTTCCGTTTACCAATGCAAGCAGTTTTATTTTATGAGCAGTCCCAGAATTTCTTATACATATAATTTTTCATACTATATACCATTCCCAGTATTTATGCCCTTAGAGTAAAAAGTTGCCTTTTTTTGGAAGAACATAGTGAACAGAAATGCTCTCAAATGTTTAAAATACTTTCTAAAAACCAGCATGTATATAGTTCTGTAGGTTTTACCAGAGATGTATAATTTTTCAGCATTACATCTTAATGCCAGTTTCCTGAAGGAGCTTTGACTACAAAAGGCATGAATATATTTTCAAAGGATGATGGATAAATTGGTGGGTGGTAATATAATATATCTTAGGCAGCTGATCAGGGCTTTTTATCCTCTGCCTGTCTTTTAGTTATACACAATTTCAAGATAATTATGGTCTATAAGAATGTCTTTTCCACTTCCTACTACCAGCAATATTTGTCTTGGTTATAGGTTCAAGAAACTTCCAATCACATCACAAAATTGGAATAGGGCAATTCTGGCATCTCAACAGAGAACTGAACATGCAAACAGACTGACCATGAAATGGACATTTAATAATATTGACACGGTATGGACAGTTAATGGACTGCCTTTATGAAATACACCACCTAATATAATGAATCCATATCTGAATTGTACAAAATAAAACCCAAGCATAATGTGTAATTCAGGTTGATATCTACCATGTCTGTGTTACCTCTGCAGTAAAAAAAATACAGTCCAATCAGATACTGAAAATAAATTAATTACTAATCTCATTAAATAAAGTGCCATGTTATTCAATGGTAAGTTATGCCATATTAAAATCCAAACTCAGTGGAGTCACCCAAATCTCAAGCAGCTCATTTTTATGACAGGAGAGGTCTTCTAGAAGCACCTGAAGGTGAGGGTTTCTTCTCTGACACAATACAAACCAGAGAAATTAACTCTGCTGTGCCTTGTCTGCTCAACAAAGGAAGTGTTGAACAGCCAAGGTGAGAGGAAAGAGCACAGACAAGAATATTGTTGGATACACAAGGACACAAAGGGAGGAAGAAATCAAAACAAGATGATGTTTCCTTGACCTTCCTGCAGCAATATTGTCCCTCCATTTACAGTCTCTTACAGAGCACCACCATGGAGTTACAACAGAGGAATGCAGCATTCCTGCCTAGTGCCTACCCCTGGAAATTAAGAAGGAAAATTATTCCATATCAGACAACAGAGGCACATCAAAATAACTGACCCCAAACTCCAAGGGGTACAAGATGTATGGCAGATGTATGGAACAATGTCTGTTGATTGTCACATAAAGACATAAAGGAGCCACAAAAACCATGACAGGCTATGAGCAACTGAATCAAAGGTGAATGAAAGAAAAATAGAATGTACATTAGCTGCCCCATTTTAAGAAAATTTAATGCAATGCAATTAAACTACTAATTTGGATAATTCAATCTCAATGAGAAAACCAAATGCAACAATCATGTTGTATCATTAGGGAGTAAATACTTGATTATCAGTTATTTAAAACCACTTAATTAAAAAATATAGCCCATTCTTATGTAACTCATACTTGAAAATCATATTTTAATCTATTTGTTTAACCTTTATTCTAAACCACAAGTAAGAAAAAATTTCACCCTTAAAAGAATCTTCTTTAGGTTCAAGAGCATTAAAAAACTGGTTTTTCACAACTACAATAATTTAACTTCATTAAGAATATACTTTTTCCTGAATACTGGGGATAATATTCAATAGGTAAGGCATAGAATTTAGCATCCCTAAGTGGGAAAACAGAAGAGAAATAATTTTGTCCAGAAATAGTCCCTGAAGACACTTAAGGAAATAGCCAGACTTCGCTTGATGCAGAAGTAATCAGTAAATTATATGTTACTTCTGATATTAGGAAAACGCAGCCTTAGAAAGACATAAAATATTTAATGAAATTTTGCAAGATTATCCTCACACTTCAGCATTTTGTGCACTGGTGATCAGGCTTCTTCCCTTGTGTAATTTTCTCCTAACAGAAACTTTCAGTGTTTGAAGGGATCCTTTCTGTATGACCTGATCCAAAGCTGACCACGTTCCCTAGCACAAAAAAGAGTCAGAATGAAATGTAAGTGCAAAGGAAATCATAAAGATGTTAAATGATGTTTTTATTTTCTACAGGAAATAAAGAACCACACAAACTGTACACTGTATTTACCACAAGATACTGGAAGCAGCTTAACTACTCTTCCTGCTGGGCAGGAGGACACTGTAAGCAGTTGGGTTTGCTGAAACCATCCCACTAAGCCAGCCGGGCTGTCTGCTTTTCATCCATCACCAAAATACAGAATCAACAGGTTCCAAGTCTCATTTGGCCTTGGGAGGATCTTCCTCCATTCTCCACAGATGGCAGGTAGAGACCTGAATTAATTCCCAAATCTGGCAAGTGTAAATACTCCTGTACCTCCCAAGACTTTCTTATGAATCACCAAGATCAATCCATTTGTTGCTACACAATATATACACTTTAAAATGCATTTAATTCATCAAGAGATGACAGCTTTACTTATCAAAAGCAATGGGTCTTATTTACCTTCAAAATGTTGTCAGGATGCTCTTTGGCAGAAGCAACAAACAGGTCATGTCCACAGACAATTCCCTCTGCGAGAAAATACTTGAACACCAAATTGGAGTAAAGGCCAAATTTATCCTCCTCTGTGAAAACAAGAATGCTTGCATTGGTTTTTGTTAGATAAATTGCCCACCTGTAGGTTCACAACACTGTGAAAGGCCTCTTTGGATCTATCTCCTGGAGTATATAATGTACACAGAGAGCAAGGGTAAAACAGGACTCAAAAGCTTTTAAAATAATGCTTGATAATATTGTATTTCTAATTTTTCAAGCCAGAGGAATAGTTCTCAATCAGGAATTTGATTCTAAGATATGAATGGGATACAGCAAGCATGCATTCCTTTCAAGGCTTCCCATAAGTATCAACTAAGATGGCTGAATTTATGGATTAATGGAAAGAGTTTCCTTAATTTAAAAGAACTATGTTAATATTTATATTCTTAGTGCTTAAAACTTGCTTAAAATATTTGTTACCTGGTGCTTTTCAAAATTCAGCCATATCTGACATGCTAAACCTATACAGAGGTAACATTCACAAGAGAGACATTCTAATGTCTGCACTTCTTCCAAAGCTGTGAAAACTACAAAAACCAAATGGATATATTGAATAAACCCAACAATTAGCAATGTTGTTTTTGAAAGCTAACCAGAGCAAAAGCAGAGCAAATTCAAGAGTCATGAATTTACAGTTCAAGCAATGAGACAATATTGTTTGCAGACATTGTGAGTCCTGACCCACTGAAATGAAAACACAAACTCTGACTTCAGCAAGACCAGCATTTCCTTCAGCTTCCCTGGTGCAAGTTCAGTGTCAGAAGTTTCCAGAATTAAGAAGCCTTAATGAACTCATGCAATTAAAACTCAGTATAACTTCAAGCTATGGGAAGTGGATATGTGCATTGTTCTGAAATCAGAACAATCTCTGAGGTTCTTTATTTGCAGGAAATACCAACAAGAGCAGTGTTAAAGCTTTTTATGGTTTTTGGGAGAAAAATAAATGTGCTACATTAGGTTTTACTTTTTCATCTCTTAATCTGGCAGCTGGAAGAGAGCATACAGGGATGTTGAGGCAGAAAAATATAGAGAGATATTACTTTATACAGAATCAAAAAGACTCAATTCATTCTTTGTGTGACTTGAAAAATATTTCCTACACACATATTCCTAATTACACATATGAAATAGTAAAATTAAAAGAAAAAAAAACAGTAACAAAGAGAGAAAATAAAAAAGTTGTCATTCATATCCAACTTGCAAAAGACAGTAAAGAGGAAAATAAAAATAACTTTTACATGTATCAGAATCAAACTGAATCAATGGAGTGAAGGAGAAAAGGAAAGGAAAGTGTATATCCATAAAGGAAAAAGAAAACTAATAGCAATGGGGAAACTTAAGAAACAAATCACAGGACAGGATTGTTGCACTGCTACACTCCCAATATCTTGCATGTGTACTGACACTGTCAGTGCTTAGACTAATCAAGTATTCAAAGCCATTGGAAAAATCCAGTTGTCCAAGTGATATTCCTCAACCTCCACGAGATATTGGGCAAAACAGAATTTATTTCCTGCTTTTTTAAATTTCACTTTTAAGTTCAGTATTTGGGATAGCAGAGTCACTAGAAGTTATTCTAAATCAGTAGCTAAAAAAAGAGAAAAATGTTTCATAATCCAGTCACTAAGACAGGAAATGACATAAAACTGGATATCCAAATAAGCCAGAGGGAATACAATAATTACAACACTTTTACTACTAGTAGTAACCACTCTGCAGTTCGTGGTAGAGTCTTAGGGTTTTAAGAATCTAGACTGTATTAACAGAACTTACCTTTGATACTGTTGACCTGCTTAGGGGGCCACATTAGCCTTTCATGTGCTTGCAATAACACACTGATTTTCTTTTTTTTTTAAATAATGGTCTTGTGACAAATCTGGACAGTTCTGAATCATAAAAAGCACAGGACTGACAAAAGATTACTGGTGACAGCACTGGGTTGCTTGCCAAAATTTCATCAGGACGGATTTCCAAAAGAATTACAAACTGCAATTTACCTGAGGAATTGGAGCTTTTAATTAAATATTAGGTAGAGTTTACTCTTGCATCCTTATAAAGCCATTAATAGTGTCACTGAAGAAATGCCTTCCCACTAACTCAGTGATGAGACTGAGGATGCAGATCCACATGAGACACTCAGGTGGACACAAGGCTCAGTGAGATAAAACTGAAACATTGCCATTTCAGAAACAAAAGGCAGAACTCACACTCCCTAAGGTTTTGAAGGAACATTACTGCTGTCTTTTGTAAATACAGTCTTTGTAGCCTGCCTAAATCTTCAACTGTCTCAAGAAGAAAATAAAACTGTGCTGAGTAAATGTCCCTTCTAACTGGAGTCCAGAACACCAACAGCTCCTGCCCTCAAACAATGGCTCTCCAGTCATTCATGCTTTGGTTGCTTGCTGTATTATCATTAGTCAATAGATTATTCACAATATATTGATCTCCATCTATGAAGTTCTTCATTTAAGAACCAAAGACCTCTAGAAGCCAAAGTGGCAGCATGACATCTACAGTTTTTTAGAATTGTCTGAGCTACCTGAATGAAGGCACCAAGGCTCCCCTGTAATCACATCACTGCAGCAGATGTCACTGCAGGGAGACAATTTTATGAAATCTCTCTCCCTTTGAACAAAAAAGAAAATGAAAACTCGTCAGGCACTCTGGAAAGATCCTCAGCTGTAACATTTACATCATCCTTGCTGAATGAAAAATCTTGGGTTCTCAGTTTTTATCTACAGGTTAAAGTTCACCTTCTTCACCATCTGAGGCACAGAAACACTGAGTTGATATGGACTTAACTGACATTTAATGGAATAGCAGAAAATATCTCGTTTAGTCCAAGTGTTTTATGGCTTGAGTCTGTGTGTACAACTATATAGACAGCCTTTCTGGATCATCATTTTGGGTCCTAATTATCCCTCAGGAAGTAAAGAACATGCTCCATTTTTTGTGCCAAACATAACATGGAAACTCCATAAACCACGGATAAATACAATAAATACAAGAAATCATACGAGGTACTGGTGATTATTTAATTAAGCTAAGAAGAAATATGGCTACTGTAATAGGTAAGAGGAGCTTTTCTCAAATTTTATTTGAAATGCAGAAATGTTAAAATATATTGTAGAAGTAAAGCAACAAAGAACAGAGGTATAAACCTTTTAATTAACTTATCAAAGATTATGATTTCTTTTGTTGACTCATTGATTTATTTGTAATATAACAGGGCTAGAGTGGTTCTTACACTGCCATACCCTCCCAAAACATATTTTGCAAAACAGCAAGAAATGTACAAATTAGCAAATTAAAAACACATTTAGAGTAAGGACACATGATTTTAACATAAGCCTTTCCTTTCTTCTTAAATTGATTTTCATAAGAGTAAACTTACAGTAAAAAAAGCAAATTAAGAATTGGAAAGTGAACTAAATATAAACCACCTCAGTCTCCTACAGTACTCTAAGGATTAGAGTGTCTCAGAAAGCCTTTACAAACAGTGTATCTGGAATTGTTAAAGTCAATGCATCTGTAAGAATCCCTCAGTTCTTCAATTTGTCAGATAGAGGATGCTTTTTATTGATTCATTTCTAGGTCACTAAACTTTTGTGGTATTCAAAAGATCTAAAGTGCATCCATATGGGGCTTTTCTGATAGCATCCATTGTACCCTGGCTTCAATAGTTATGTTACTATTCAGAACCAAAGGAGTACAGCTTTCTTCTTGTAAATAAACAAACAAATCATTTAGCACAGGTACTTCAGCAGCTCACTGATGACTTTCATAGAATCCCAGACTGAAATACTTTCCTGACAATGCTTGGATTTAGCATTTGAATGGCTAGGAGAAATTTTCAGCTGTTACCTTTATCTTTCCAAACTCCTCCACATCCAAAGGAACTACCTTCACTCAGAGCATGGAGGAACTAACACTCGAGATCATTTTAGTCAATACTCAGGACAAGCCTGGCCCAAATCCTTGGTCTCAGCCTCCACACTAAAGAGCTGCCCCGTCTGCAGCCTTCATTGTGAACTTCACTTGCAGCTCCTCAGGCACATAAACAAATAAGACTCTTGCAGCTGCAGCCTCTGCTGTGGGTGCAGCCACCGCAGTCACATGGCACTGCACAGCTCCCTGCCATTCTTTGGGAACAAAGAGTGTTCTCCAGCTAAGTAGCAGGTGAGGAACTAGTGAAGCGTGAAACTATACAAGGAAAAGAGATTATTTACCTAGAAGTTATGCATATTGTCTCCAGGACAAAAGCTCTTCTGATCCTACAGATAAGGCCATAAATAAAATAGTCTATTGTGATGGCTCTCCACTGGTGTCTTTTTCATGGCTGGAACACTCATGGAGAAAGAGCAGTGTTGTCACCATGTGTGCAGTGAATTCCAACATATAACCTTGCTGAACCAATCCCTATTGATGGGTCTTTTCAGCACTGCACTGTATAGGCTACAAAATACATAAGGGACATTCTCAGCACCTTTGTGCATGGATTGTCTGTAGCTTCTACTTAAAGAAATGTGTAGGTCGTAGAATTAGGTATAGAATTTTTCAGCTTTTATCTAGGGCAGAGAAAACAAAAGAGAGCAGATATCTGTGAGGCACTGTAAAAATAGAATTTATTTAAAAATTAAGGAAATAAATCTAATTACAGAACTTGGTATGTAACCATGTGACCTTAAGGAAAAACTCCCTCTGCACAGAGGCATTCATGTTCCAAGAGAGGGATGCAGAATAAGCACTAGAACTGGAAGAGGACTTAAAAAGTCAGGAACAAAATCCACTGTAAGGTAACAAATATCATATCCATAAATATTGTATTTATAATACCTGACTTTCAAACATCAGTATTAAACAGCAAACAGGTCTTTGAAAAACTCCAGTGGTCATTTGTAGTATAATTGCTTAAAATGATGAGAGCTGTAAGAGGAAAGAATAAGCCTGCAACAATGTAATGTACAGATGGCTTATTTTTTTTTTTCTCTGCACAAAGTCTAGACAGGTTGCCCTAAAGCTGCCAAAAGCCTGTCATAGCCTATCAGTATTGATAATTTTTTTACCAGATAGATGGCTCTACACTGTGGTCTGATGACCTAAGGTGTGTCTTTCTCTAGCTATGAAACATCTCTCTAAATTGCTGCAGGTTATAAAACCAGATTATTTTAATAATCTGAAATTCCATTTAAAAGATACTTTTCTAATGTCCACGTTTACTAAGCTTGAGGGGATATACTTTGTGTCACTTGCATTTAATTAGCACATGCCAAACCAGAGTTGTCAAACATATAAGTTACAAACTTTGGCATTTGGCCATACTTCAGGAAGGTGAATTCTGTTAACTGGTATTTTGCAGAATTATATTTAGCAAATCACTGTTTTGTACCTCTCTTGAGATTATCTTTTTCAGCTTTAAAAAGATGATAAATTCAGTTACATTGACAAGTGAAGAGAGCTCTTCCCAGTCAGGTTAAATTGCATGCCTAACAAAAATAATACTAGCTAATTAAAGCAGCTGAAATTGCTTCAAGGTTTAAAATGTGCAAGTACAGACCTGTTTTTCACCAGACAACTTTAACTTTTAATAACTGACCTCAGCTACCAACAAAACCCCTCCTACTGATAATCTTTAAAACATTTAGCTGTCAGTGACCTTGTCAAAACTGGGGCTTTTAAAGGTAAGCAAGAATAGGTTCTTACAGGGTGCCCAGGACACATCTAGTGAAGGTGCTGTAGCTCACTCTGCAGAAGATGTTATACAAACAAAGCTTACATTTAAAAACAAAATAACATCCTCTGCCAACTCTTCCTGGGCTGGCAAAACACACGTGCAACAGCTTTGAGTGCACTGCAGTGGGGAGGGGAAGGAGTGTGCTGATTCCACCTGCTTGTGTTGAGGAGGAGACTCCTCTGGGAAGCTGATCTTCTGCAGCAGGTTCAGATGAAATCACAAATGTGCTCTCACATCCATTCTGAACAAGCTGCTTTGATGGGGGGTCCACCTCAGAATACTTCTTAGGAACCTACTACTGGAAGGATTTTTTAAAAATCCGAATTCTTGTTAGATGAACAAATCCCAGGAAGTTTCAAGCTGCTCTGGTAGGTAGGTTCTTCCATGAGAATACCATGTGCTTCAACTCTCTAATTTTCATATAATTAAAACACTGTCAAAAGAATATACTATAGAATTAAGTTCAACTGGAAAGCACAATGCTCTTCATTATGAATTGAGTTTAAAAAACTTGTACACTTATATTTGAAACAGTATTTTACAGTCTTATCAAGTAAACTGTGCCATTACTACATCTTCAGAACACAACAGTTAAAATAAATATTTTAATACCCTGAATCTACTATTATTTGGTTAAATTAACCAAGATAATGCATCAAATAATGAAGACGAGCATTTAATTTGCAAAGGGAGCTAAGCTAAAAGTAATGCAATTTATTCTCACCTTAGACAATGTTGGAGGAAAGGGGAAGAATTTAACCTTTTTATAACACTTGGAGTACAACACAGAAAGATCTTCCTAGGAGGTTTATCACTGACAGCTTCAATCCTGATAATATTAAGCCTGCCTAGACTAATCTCATGACAGAATTTCTTGGTATGCTGACAGGATAGTCTAACAATGCCATTACAAGGTTACCTGCATCAACTTTAAATATTAGTCTCAAGATTTTTAGACCAATGAGTCATGAATAAATATAGTTCCTGCTTTCAGACTTTTTGTATATAATTATGTGTTTCAAAATAACACAGGGTAAGTCTCATTTGGGAAAAAAAAATCAGCTCTAAAAGAGGCATTCTCATTTGGGTTTCTGTCAAGCTAAGTTTCAGATCAGATCACAAATACACAACCAACACAGGGGATAGGCAAATTAAAACCTACCACTGAGTATGGCCAGATATGCCCTCAGATGAAACAAAGTTTGGGTAAAAACCCTTTCAGGAAAAGACTTCCACCAAGCCATCAGCATCCACATGACTTTTTCACATCCACAACATCCTGGGGTCAAATATTGCACCACTTCTTTCATTTCATGACAATTATCCTGCCAGGTTCATTGGATGCCACCCAGTCTGTCTACTGGAAGGGGCAATGAATGTTTTAATGGGAAGACAAAAATTAATATAGTTTCACAATCTCTGATTTATGGTAAATATATAGGTTCTAACTTTTTTTTCTTCTTCTTTTATCACAGCAAGATTGCAGCTCTTCTCAAACTGAAAATGGTTGGAATTAGGCAATGTCAGTTATTTTTTCTGGCAAGCAACTATTCAAATTACTTAATCTGCACCATACACCAATTGATATACTTTATGTAAAAATTAACATTTTCTAAGACTCAGTGACACATCAATAACTGTCTCTAATGGATAAAAATGCAGAAATAAAGATTAGCCTTGAAATAACAACAAGCCATAGTGAGAGCAATTACCTTGCTCAGTGCCAAACAGAAATGTTGATTCAGTCTCTAGTGCAGGTTACATGAACAGAAAGTAAAATGCTGTAATTCTAATAGTGGCTAAAATAGATTTCAAATAAGTTTTCCCCAAACCCCACTGTTTGATTCTTTAGTGTTAAGACCAAATTTTGAATTGTAAAAATTCAAAACACGTAACCAAAACTCTAGATCCAAATTCAGTTTCCCAAGTGATGGTTGTCTTTCCACTGGGAAAGTAAACACAGATAACATATTAGCACCACAATGTTTTCATCCCTTTTAGAAAATGAATGAAAATTATTGATATTAATCTGTCTCAAGGCTGAAAAGCCACACTCTGCAGAGCTTCTATTGGTCTATACTTCTATGACTTCTAGTCTATGACTAAAGACAAGCAGGCTCTTAAAACACTCTACAGGCACAACTTCTTTGAAAGCACCCAAATCACCCAGGCATGTGCCAGTGTGCTCTGTCCCTAAGCCAGGCTGAAATCTAGTCACTGTTCTCAATTATGAGAGTTGTGAGATTCAAGTGCTCCTTCAGGGTAGAGATTAACACAAGAATTGTGAATTTTTCTGCTGGTTTTGTGTCAGCTCAATCAAACAGAAAGGAAAGCTGGACACCTCAGCTGCAATGGAGACACGGTCCCAGAGAGCTGCACTGTGGTCTGTAACAGGAATTCTGGGGTAACCCATTTAACCCTCCCAGTGTGCCTCACCCACACCCTGACAGAAAGCAGGCTGCCATCACCTGAGCTCTCAGCTCATTCTGGCAACCAAAAGATTGAAAGGTTCTTGTGGTTACTGTGCTGCAAAGAGAGAGAAA